CCAAGCATGATGTCCCTATCCAAGGACCTATCTCTCCTTACAACATGACCAAAGTATGTCAGGTGAAGCCTCAGAATCCTTGCCTCCAAGGAGCAGCCCGGTTTAACCCTCTCCAGGTTGAATCTGTTTGTTCTCTTAGCAGTTCATGGCACCTTCAGCACTCTTCTCCAACACCAAAGCTCAAAAGCATCAATTCTCCTATCCTCCCTGGTTATTGTCCAGCTCTCTGACGCATAACAAGTGATAGCAAAAACCATGGCCTGTACCAGATGTGCCTTAGTCTCCAGAGACATGCTGTTGCTCTTGAGTACTTTAGAGAGGTCCCTAACAGCAGACTTTCCCATGGCAATACGTCTTTTAATTTCCTGGCTGCTGGTGCCAAGAGTGTTGATTGTGGAGCCAAGCAGACTAAAGCTGTGAACAATCTCAATCTCTTCACCATCCATCCTGATGTTGCGAATTGGTCCAGTGGTGAGAATCTTTGTCTTCTTGACATTGAGTTTCAGTCCATATTGAAGGCTGCAGTCCTTGGCCTTCATCAGCAAGCACATCAGGTCCTCCACACTTTTAGCAAGCAGGGTTGTATCATCTTCATAACGCAGATTGTTGATAGATCTTCCACCAATCCTGATGCCGCATTTCTCCTCATAGAGCCCAGCCTCCTGGATGATCTGTTCTGCATACAGGTTGAAAAGGTATGGAAACAGGACACATCCCCGGCGTACGTTCTTCCCAATTTTGAACCATGCAGTGTTTTCCTTGCTCTGTTCTGACGACTGCCTCTTGGTTCAAGTATAAGTTTCTCATTAGCATGATCAAGTTCTGGGATTCCCATTCTTCTCAGAGTCAGCCACATTCAACATTACTACCAGGATGTATGGTGAAGAGATTGAGATTGTTCACAGCTTCAGTTTGCTCGGCTCCACGGTCAACACTCTTGGTACAAGCAGCCAGGAAATAAAAAAATGTATTGCGATGGGAAAGTCTGCTGTTAGGGACCTCTCTAAAGTACTCAAGAGCAATGGTATCTCTCTGGAGACTACGGTGCGCCTGATACAGGCCATGGTTTTTGCAATCATTTGTTATGCATCAGAGAGTTGGACAATGACTAGAGAGGATAGAAGGAGAATTGATGCCTTTGAGCTGTGGTGCTGGAGAAGAGTATTGAATGCACCATGGACTACCAAGAAAACAAACAGATTCATCCTAGAGAGGGTTAAACCGGGCTACTCCTTGGAGGCAAGGATTCTGGGGCTTCTTCTGACATACTTTGGACATGTTGTAAGGAGAGACAGGTCCCTTGGAGAGGGACATCATGCTTGGTAGGATAGAGGGACAGCGCAGGAGGGGAAGGCCCTCTATGAGGTGGATTAATTCAGTGACTGGGGTAATCGGGATGGGTGTGTCAGAGGCAATGCGATTGGCACAGGATAGAGCAGGGTTTAGGGCTGTTGTACATAAGGTCGCTATGAGTCGCAAACGACTCGACGGCACATAACAACAACAACAACAACAACAGCAACCAGTTATTTGGTAATGACAGAGTCCAACTAGGCGCAATTTACGTTGACAGATCATGCCTTATGTGGGAAGGACAACAGTTTCAGGGGAAACCTGCCATTGTGGAGAAATTGTTTAGCCTTCCATTCCAGAAAATCCAGCACAGCATCACGTCACAGGACCATCAGCCCATGCCAGATAGCTGTATCCTCAGCATGGTTGTGGAGCAGCTCAAGGTCAATGAAGTCCCATCATGGGCTTTCACCAGATGTTTCTATTAAAGAACATCAATCATGCTTGGAATTGCACCAATGACATGTTCAGGCTTTCTCTGCATGACTTCGGCTGACCTTGTCCCAGACAGGCATTAATGCTATTTCCTCCTCCCTCCTTTCTCCAATGCTATTCACACTCCTCCAGATGCTCCAAATATCATACACAAGCAAGCAAGGCCGAGGTGGGAGGGGGTGCCACCGAGGTGTTAATGGTGCGTGATGTTTGAACATTAGACTAGTTGCATCTGACAGGAGAAGTTTGTGTTTTACCTGCGCATGCCTTGGAAAGACTTAAGTAATGCAAAAGGTTGTCTTTTTTCTTTCTTTTTAATCTACTGATAAGATGCTCTAGTGACCCAAAGAAGTGAAGGAGAAAGCAGCTGCCTCACTGCCCAGTTATTGATTTATTTAGATGTTTCAATGCCTCATCATACAATAAAACCACCATAATTTTCTTTAAAAAACCCACAAAACAAAGCACAACTTACCCTCCAGAATCCAACTGCTCCAAGCTGGAGACTCTCAGGCACCAGATGTCAGTAGCAACTCCTAGCTTCCATTAGTTGGGAAAACAAAATTTCTTCTGGTTAGATTTTCCCTCTCTGGTACTTCCTTGATTCTAGTTGCTCCAGTGGTACTTTTGAAATTCAAACTTGACCATGTCATTCTCTCACATTAAATTCTATACAGGCTACACCCTAGAATATTGACATGCATGCTTTAGGGAGCTTTTGTGACCAAATCCTGTTTTACCTTATTTGCTTCCTTTTATGACTTAGATATGAAATGTCAGGTCAACCTATCAATCTGTTTATTGCTCCTGGAATATGTTGTGTACTTTTAATATCACCTAGCACTATCAACAGTCTTGGTACCAGCAGCTAGGAAATCAAGAGGTGAACTGCATTGGGAAAGTCTGCCATCAGGAACATCTCCAGAGTATTGAAGAGCAATGATATTAGTCTGGAGACTAAGGTGTGCCTGATCCAGGCCATAGTCTTCTCAATTACTTGCTATGCATCAGAATGCTGGACAATAACTAGGGATGCTAGAAGGAGAATTGATGACTTTGAACTGTGGTTCTGGAAAAGATTATTGAATATACCATGGACTGTTAAGAGAACAAACAGGTTCTTCCTGGAGAGGGTGAAACCTGTCTGCTCTTTGAAGGCAAAGATCCTGAAGCTTCATCTCACATACTTTGGACATGTTGCAAGGAGGAACCAGCCCTTAGAGAGGGACATTATGTTTGGGAGGGTGGAGGGACAGCACAGGAGGGGAAAACCCTCGATGAGATGGACTGACTCAGTGACTAGAGTAATGGGGTAGGTATGTCAAAGACAATAAAATTGGCAAGGGATAGAGCAGGGTTCAGTGCTGTTGTACATAGGGTTGCTGTGAGTTGATAGCACATAATAACATAATAATTTACTTGCTTTCATCTAAAATTTGTATCCCTTTGTATATGGAATATTCTACTGCATTCTGAAAGATGGAATCTAATGCTATTTCCTTGGGCAAACTTGGCTTTTAACTTTTCAAAGTTCTTGCGTAGACTCTCATGAGTCTATGCCAGGTAATTTGGAAGACAGCTATCTGTCAAATAACTGGAAGAAATCCCATATTTTTTCCAATTTCCAAGAAAGGTAATCCAATAGAATGTGGAAATTACCAATGCAGAACTTATACTTAGATCAGGAAGCAGTCATCAGAACAGAGCAATATTACATGGTTCAGATTTAGAAAAGGTCTGCATCAGGGATGCATTCTGTCTCCACACTTTTTCAATCTATTGGGAGAATAGATCATTCAGGAGGCTGAACTTTATGAGGAGGAGTGTGGCATCAGGATTGGAGGAAGACTCATCCACATTCTGCGTTATGCAGATGACACAATCTGGCTTGCTGAAACTGAGGAAGGCCTGAAGCATTTGCTGCAGAGGGTCAAGAACTGTAGCCTGCAATGTGGATTGAAGCTCAACATTAAGAAAACAAAGATTCTTACCACTGGGCCAATTGGTAATATCTTGACAGATGGAGAAGAGATTAATATTGTCAACAATTTCAGCTTGCTGTCCCTTGGAGGCAAGAATTTTGAAGCTCCATCTCACATACTTTGGGTATGTTGCCAGGAGAGATCAGTCCTTGGAGAAGGACGTCATGCTTGGAAGGGTGGAGGAACAGTGCAGGAAAGGAAGACCTCAGATAAGAAAGATGAATTGAGAGTAATGGAGGGAGGTGTGTCAGAGACAGTAAGATTGGCCCAGGATAGAGCAGGGTTCAGAGCTATTGTGATTAGGGTCGCTATGAGTCATAGTAGGCTCAATGACATGTAACAACAAAAGGCTCACTAAATTTGTGTACTGTGGTCTGCTTCCTGTCTTGTCCATTGAGACTTAGTTTTTCTTTTCTTTATGCAAAGCAAGGTTCCTTTTACTTGATATCACTTAGACAAGCTAAAGTTTTCTAAAACTAACTTTATTAAAGAAAATAAAGATGTATAAAAATAAAAAAAAACACACCATGAAGACAAATAGTTACAAAAACACAATTTTGGGTTTTATCCCCCCTCTCCCCCAAGACAATGTCAACACATTTTGGATGTTCTAACAAGCACAGATTATAGATCAGCAGACACAGGCTTATTTCCACATTCTCGGGTCTGGTTTTTATCATTAGGAGCATACCTATTTTTCATATTTTGAGATTCTAGTCCACTCTGTTTTTTTCAATTTACCCTTTAGTACTCTAGTCACTTCCATGGGCCATGGAGATAGGCTGATTATTGTTTGATGGGTTATCTTTAGGTAATCATTGTAAGATGTTAAAACCAACATTTACTAAAAGATTATATATGCTAGATTCTGTATTAAGTATACTTCATGTATTATCTCATTTACTCTTACAACTTTCCTTTGGAAAAAAAATACATACCATGTAGTAGTTAAATGCCTTACCGAGATTCTCATATCTAGTAATTCATAGGACCAAATCTTTAATTCTGGTGTGTCTGGCACTATATTCAAGCTCTTGTACCTTGTGCCATATCTCCACAAGGTCTCTGTTCCAAACAACTCTACCTATTATTCTACTGGTGTCTGATTACCGTACACTTCTCTCCCTTGGGCAAAAGTGAAGAGTTATCCTTCTCGAAATTTAGTGATTGTGAGTCTTTCTTTGCTCAGCTCCTCAAGTCTTCTGGCCTCAAGTCTTCTGGTTTAAAGGCTCACTCTGGGGCCATGCCTTTTCTGATCAATTTTAGGAAAGCATTTTTCACATCCTTGTTCCTCAAACTATAGATGACAGGGTTGAGGAATGATGTGGCAACATTATAGAATAGAGCCATTCTCTTGCCACTATTTGACAAAGAACCAGAGCCAGGGCCCATGTACATGATGATGCAGGGAATGGCAAACATGGTGACCACAATGATGTGGGAGGCACAGGTAGAGAAGGCCTTGATCCGTCCTTGGGCTGATCGTATCTTCATGATGGTGGCAAAGATGTTGGCATAAACAATAACAATAAGCAAGAGAGGGACCACAATAACATTGAAGCCTATGATGAAGTCCACTAAGTCATTTAGTGATGTGTCTGCACAGGCCAGTTTCAGGACAGCAGGGACTTCACAGAAGTAGTGGTCAATTTCACGAGGGCCACAGTAGGGCAAACGCATAGCAAAGAAGGTATAGAATAGGCTACCCACCACACCGTAGGCTGCACAGATGCCTACCATAAGGAGACACATCCAGTGGCTCATGATGACCTTATATCTGAGAGGGTGGCAAATGGCCACGTACCTGTCCACAGACATGATGGAGAACAGCCAAGACTCAGTGACCCCAAAGAGAAGGAAAATGTACATTTGAGCCACACATCTAGCAAAAGAGATAGTTCTCTTCTTGCTGAGAATATGCACGAGCAACTGGGGCACAGTAGTGGTAGTATAGCACACATCCAGCATAGAGAGAACACTGATGAAAAAGTACATGGGCGTGTGGAGGCGTGAGTCCTGGTAAATAATGGTCATCAGGAGGCTGTTGCTCACAAGGATCAGCAGGTAAAAGACTATAAAGAAAGTGAAGAGCAGAGGATTGGTCCTGGGGTCTGGGGCAAAGCCCAATAGAATGAATTCTGTCACTGTGGATTGGTTGAATTCCTGCATTGTGATTTGCCAATTTTAAGAGTTTTTAAGATATGCAATTTATTGAGTGTCTATATCTATGCTGTGTATAGAATTTTCACACTCTTTGTTTGGTTTATGCCTCCTAACAGTATAAGGAAGTTTTGAATAGAGGCACCAAGAGATTCAAAATCAGCAAACAAAAGCTCAGTGGACCTATATGAGAAATAAAAATGGAATGTCAGATAAGCAAAACACTCTACAGAATTTTCTAAGTACCGTAAGAGAAGCTTTGAAGAAATGTAGATATACATCATGTTCCTGGGAGGAAAAGACTAAAAACTGAAAAAAGGGCATTTATTTCCAGAATTATTTGTATATTTAGTGCAATTAAATTTAGACCCAAAAGGAAATTTTTTAAATAAAATTTTTATTTTATACTGGTTTACTTACAAAGTTCAATAACATTGCTGTATACATTGTTTTTCACACCAGATCTTTTTCACTCAAAAGGAAATTTTTTGTTGAAACTTATTAATGTAATTAAAAATCCCTGTAAGAATAAATGGGGAAGAAAAGCCAAACAGGTATTGGGAAAAGAATAAAGAATTAGAAGTAAAGTTCTGTACTTAGCAGATAAAAATACCTGAATTTAAAATTTAACAAAGCATCTTGTATTTTATTTGAGGACTCTGAGTGGGAAATAGCCATCCTCCCCAAAATTTCAACATATTAGTACTATAACACCATGAGAAAAGAAACATAGGGCAATAAATATACAGATTGATAGGACAGAATAGAGAACCCAAGAATACATATCTTGACGAAGATGTAATCATAAACAAGAGGTTTGAAAGAATCATTCAATAAATATTGTTTAAACTGTTAATTAACTCTCTGGGTGGACAGTTTTATTCATACTATTTACCAATATAAATTCTAAGCTGATTAAACAGTCAAGTAGAGAAAAAAAATATAGGTAACTATTTGATGGAAAATCTTTTAAGCATACCTGAGAGTTTTCAAGTCCTTCAGTCCTTTAATATGCCAATAAAGTAACACAGGTTTCTCATCTAATGTGCTGTAAGAAGTCTAGTAAAACCCAAGCAAAATCCACTCCTACCAAGTTAATCTCAACTCATAGAAACCTTTCATCTGATTTTCAAGGTTGTAAATCTTCCTCTTCATTCTACAGTTAAATATTCTCCTGGTGAGTTTATTTAGAAGCTCAACACTTAACCTACCTAGACACCAGGGCCCCGTAGAAGCCTTTTTGAAGATTCCTTGTATATCCCTTTTCACTTTGCCCTAAAACATTCCTGCTGTCAGTAAATTCTTGGTTATGTCTTGCTGTCTTCTGTTGTGTGGCTATTGTCCTCTTTCATCCAATTCATTCCAAACTTGGAACCATTCTTCTTCTTTATTCCTTTAAAACTTATGGCTATCAGATTATGGACACCACCTTATGGTCATCCTAAGATATTTTCCCTCCTCTGAAGGTGTCAGTAAAAATGGCACCTTACTTACAGCTTAGTTCAGAATACTCATTGCTGTCAAGTTAGAACTGATTAATAGCTGATCTTCCAGTGGATTTTTGTGAGGCTGTAAATTGCTCAAGAGGAGATATTTCTCCTATAGAGCTACTTGTAGATTTGAACTAATAGGGAGGCACTGCTTTTGGGTTGGCAGTGCAGCTCCCTACAGACAACATCAAAAGTGCATGTTGAATTTAATAAAGTCCTTGACCAATTATTCCATAGTTTAATTCTTGGCATTTCTCCCCTCCCCATCACAGATAACATATCCTGTCTTCTTCCTGGGACACTTTTCCCACTTTCCTTATCTCTCTGTTCTAGAAGCCTTTACTATTTGTCTTCTGGACAATCAGCTATATAAAACACAATTCCTTTATCTCAATGCTTCTCAAATGTCATCATGTACTAGAATCACTTGGAAGATTTGTTAGCTACTGAATGTCAACATTCAAAGTTTTTAGTGCAGCTTCAGTGATGATGGGAATTTTAGTAAGTACTTTTGTGATGCTAATATGTACCCTAGCTGCTGTTGCTGTTGGGCCAGAGACCACCCTTTAGAACCACTCACCTTAATCACCAGAGCAAGTGAGCCCGGATTCTCTCAATTTCCCTGAGTTCATATTTTGTCCAAGTTGTTCACTTCCCCTCTGACTGAACGCCAATATTTTCTTCCTTTAACAAAGCATAAAAGGAAATGAAAATTTTTTTGTTAATAGAAAAACTAACTAGGATGCAGGATGGGCCATCTACTTCCCAAATAACAGGCCTTTGAAAACCCTATGAACACTAAAGGAATGAGGATAGTTATAATAGTGTAGTGGTACAGCCCAGACTGGAAGTCAGTTAAACTGAGGAAAAACAATACAAAGTGACTGCCACAAAAGGCTGTTGAATGTCAGGAAGTGTGAGAATGGCACAGGATAGAACAAGATTAAGATCTACAGTTGTTGTTCATAGGTCACTAGGAGTCATATTCAACTTGATGGCATCTATAACAACAACAACATAAAAATGAAATTTCCCGCTAATTTAAAAAAGGAAATCATGCATATAATATATATGACATATTTGAAATAGAAGTGATTAACACAATTAGAACATAAAGATATTTCCTAGAACTCTAAGAACATGAAGAATCGGAAAATACATGTTTAGCCAATTCATAAAAGAAGAGACTCAAATGGCCTATAAGTCCACTAAAAAGTTTAATCTTAATAATTAAATCATTACAGGTTAAAATATCAGTGTTGTTCTAAAATATGCAATTTTTATTTTTAAAATTATAATACCCAGGAGTTTACATAAAAGTAGAAATTGCCATATATTATGATGGGAAAGAAATGACAATATTCTTTCTGAAGAAAAATTGAACAATATGTAATCTCACTTTTCCCCCTCTATAATCAATGATTTATTCATAGCAAATATCTTCTATAAGAAACATAAATGTGGACTATACAGACAGATTTAATCTGATGATTTGCACAAGTGTCAGATTGATTACATCTGTGGAAAGAATCGTTGGAGAAGTTCAGTATCAGCGGTGAAAACTTATAATCTCACTTTTAATAATTTTGCCTAAGAGAGAAAGTTGAGCTGTGGGGAGAGATTTCTATCAATTTTTTAAAATGTAGTATTGTTTATCATAGTATAAAGTAGAAGCTAAATGTCTTCAATATAAGATTTATTATGTCAATTGAAAAAATATACTAACATGATTGAAAGCCTATACACTTAAGAGTTATCATTTGGAGACTATTTCTTGATTTATTGCTGTGGGAGAATATTCCAGTAGATTTCAAAACTGAAAAAAATCCTCAAAAAAAAATTAAAATCCTCCAGCATGTGAAACTAGATCTGACCCACTTTTAATTGTATAATGATTTGTATATGCATAGACAAAACATTGAAAAGAACTACACTCGAAGTTAACAATAGTTATTTCTTGTCATAGGTTCAAAATTATTTTAATTTTCCATGCTAAACATGGAAACAGTGGAGTCTCTAGGTGCTACAGTTTGTAAACGTGCTTGACAGCTAACTGAAAAGCTGGGGTCTGAGTTCACACAGAAGTGTCTCAGAAGAAAGGTCTGGAGATTATTTCTGAAAAATTACCATTGGAAGCTCTCTGGAACACATTTCTACTCTGATACTCATAGGGTTACCATGAGTCAGAATTCACTTGGAAACAACTACTTTGCTTTGTAAGAAGGAATAAATTTCCAAATTACTATTTGAAAGAAAATGCACAGGGACTTGATATTTTCATTTATATTTAGAAAAACGGATAGATATAAGAAAGGAAAAATCAGAGATGGTGAAATTACAGACCTAGAAAGCTCTGAGAATGGAATGGACAGCTTCTCCTGTGATCTTAACACTAGTAGGAGAACACCCTGGAGGAAATAGACCAAGGGTGAAAACTGACGTTGACTCCATGGATGTGGAGAAATTAGACTGGACAACAATGTGGAAACCCAATTTAGGAAGACTCAATCCATGAAGAGGCTGCAGTGGTTTCCAGAAAAGATAATGAACTTATAAAGAGACATGAACTTACATCTTCTATTACTGAGGCTGGTAGATCTCTGAGATAGAAAAATGAGAAAGAAACAGGGATAGAATGCAGGCTTTTGTTGACTTAGACGATGGCATAAGTCAGAAAGAACCCTGATTTGGTGTCAAGTCAACTTGAGTTTCAGTATGTCCTCTGCAAATGACTTCTCCTCTTCATCTATAAAGTGGGAACTCTATTAGGTAGTTGAGTTGGATAATGATAAGAGTCCTGGGTTCACATCAATAACCAAAATATGTTCAAATGGTTGCCAAGAACATATGAGGGACTGCTGATGTTTACACCAAGCGAACTCAGACAGTGGGATCATAAAACAGAGACAAATCTCTGCCTCCTACATCATCTGGTGAATGAGAGGAAGAAGTAGACTGGCACTAGGAAGGATGAGCTCCAGATAGAGAAAGTCCAGGCCAGCTTTAAGCTCAGGTTGCTCACTTTAAGCTCTGGCTCTGTCGTTGTATGTGCAGGTTCCATAACAAAATAATTCAAACTACCAGCTACAGGTGTTAGAACAGGTAGGCAGGAGACTAGAATAAGGCTACCTTCTATTCCCAGTCTACATCCTCATCTTACTCCTTCTGTCATTCTGCAAGTACAAGATGACCTTTTATCATTGTTAATAACAGAGAAAAGATCTGCTAACATCACACAGACCTTTTACAGTTGAGCCTATTCAATTTTCGTGGTCATTGTGATTATATTCTCACTGGATCACTAGTTTGCTGTATTACTTTGCACAAGTCATTTAGCCTTGTTGGCCCTCCTGGTCTTTTCTTTAAAATTAAGGTGTGGATGATCTGTATAGCTTCTCTAGGAGTGATGCAAATCCTTTTCTAGTTCTGTTTAGATTTGGAGTTGGCAAGAACCCGGAGATAGGGATGGGTGCTTCAGAGATACATCAAAGTATCAGGAACCTAGGTACTGAGACCCGA